ATGTCATTGAATATGTCATTAAGCATTTGAGAAGATCATAGAGGAAGAGTAGACATCCACCATGATTTGATTTTTCTTATAACAATTATAAGTTACAATAATTAATAATTTTAAAAATATAAAAAATATATGAAAATCTGTAATACACCAAATCAAACAGTCGATAAGAAATAAGCAAATCATAACTAATCCCATCATTACTAATATACCTTATTCAGTATTATTCTTATAAACTCTACCGAACAACTCCTGATGGCTATATGGTCGTTTGGTTGAAAGACAAGTTATGTTGGGATTAGTTATATTGAGATTAATTATGCTGAGATTAGTTATTCTGATAATATTTTTTATTGACTGTTTGGTATATTAATCCTGAGTTTGTCAATTTTACTGCTTTATTTTGGGATAACTTATCTTGGGATTACTATTTCACCCTCTGACAAGGTATAAGTTATCCTGATATTATTTTTAATCTTGAGATAAGTTATTCAAGAATTAGTAATCAAACAAGGAATAAGACACTATTAAATTTTTAATTCCGAAATTATATTTGTTTATCCAAATTACCAAACGAAACCCGAGTATTTTATCCGTTAGTCTCCTTACGGTGTTAGGTAGCAGATTTGGTTTTGGATTTTTTTTTTCTTTTTCACTTCTTTTTCTCTCTTGGAAACTAAAATGCAAAATGACAACTCGATCGATTTTCAATTCTATAAAATCAAAAATTAAACAATCGATTCGAACTTTTTCACCAATTAAGACAGTAACGTTACGTGCTGCGTCGGTTTATTTCTATTTATGCATTAGTATTCAAAGTTTATCTATTGTTGTTTTATTCTTTTGTGTTTTTGTTTTTTAATCCCTAAAGTTGGACACAATTGTGATCGACACGTATTGAGTTGTTAGAATCGGTTATACATTCCAGTAGTTTCAGTTTATATGAATTTATTTTCTTTTTATTCTGTTCTATAAAGAATGAAACTTTTTTAATGAATCTAGAAAATTTAACCTAAACTTATCATTATATTCTTAATAAGAAACTTTTAAAACCATATAAATATTATAACATAAAGAGTGAGTTGCTCTAGTGGTAAGCACCCTTCACTTCCAACCAAGAGGTTGTGAGTTCGAGTCACCCCAAAAGCAAAACAACCTCTTTACCTCTAATTGGAAATATTATAATTGTTGTATAAATATTATAATATGTTTAAGACCATAAGTTTCAAAAAATTATATCACACAAATGTTATACTTATTTAGGACAACATATTTTAAAAGTCTTTATTTTTTCTTAAACTCTGTGTTCAGTAAAATAAATTTACACAAATTAGAACAATATGGAGTCAGCTTTTTGCCAAGTTATGTTGAATGAAACTTGATTTTTTTTTTCTCTATATTTTCTTTCTTCATTTTAATTCTTGCTTTCCATTTTTATGACAATTCCAACCCGAGAATCGCTTACACTATCTAATGCATACGGTAAAAATAATTTCCTTCCATATACTCTTTTCAAGCATGGGACTACTGTCCATCTCTATAAAGTTATTAATGTGGCTTCCCTTACTTTATTCTTCATGCTAGATTACAAGGCAAAGAGCTGTTTAAATTGTTTGTATAAATATGGGTATTTGGAGCCTGTCACATTTTTATTCTAAATACCAATTAGGAAAGAAACAAAATTTGTTACTAGTATAGACCTTCTTCGCCTTTTACTCTTCCCTTTTTTTAAAAATTGGGCATTGCATACTGGCTTCTCCCTACAAAGATCTGAGTCACCAAAAGATAAAGTCTGAAAGTTAATTNCCCCCAAAAAAAAACCCTTCATCTAGATTCTTCCAATTGTCAGTAACATTAAATGAATTATTTATAATGCTACAACTGTCACAAATACAATAACGGCAAAACAAACATTAGGAAAAAATATCTTCTTTTAAGTTTACTACTATTCAAACAAAGAAAGAAAGCTAATTCGAAACATCTTCGACTTTTACAGCCTTTCCCTTTCGTTCTGCCAATCAAACATTAGGGAGGAAAAAAAAAAAAAAGGGCGATTTGGTCCTACCTTGTATTTGTGCCATCTTTTAATCTGTACCTTATTTTTAAAAATTATTGATTTGGTACCCGGTTGACAAAATATCCGTAATAATATGACCATTATACCCCTGACAAAACATATAAAAGATGCATCACACATAAATCATTTTACGATTCTCCTCCATCACTCCATCCCTCCTCAGATCTTCTCTCGCATCTGCCATAATCACGAAACCAGAAAGTTGAACTAGATTCAAATTCCAAATTCCAAATTACAAAATACATTGTAAGTATTGCAAATCATCTTCAGAATTCAAATTAGTTTTTGAAACTGATTGATCTTCATGAATTCATCATGCTTTTTAAGTTTTAATTCAATCAACCCATATATTTTAATCACACTTGCATGGAGTTATAGAATAAATTTATTTCTGGATACTATTAAATGCATGACACATAGGCAAAACATGCTAAAGTTTTTGGTTTGTTTGCTAGAACATTATACTAAACAAGCTGAGTTTTTACATAATTTGCTAAACCTTCACACCAAAACGCCGAAATCTTTGTCTTGCAGTATAAAAAAGCTGAATTTTTTTAGTTCATTTGCTAATACTTCAGCACTAAAATATGCTGAAATTTTGTCCTGGATTTAATAGTTTTGTCATGAGCTTTTTTCGAAACTTCAGCAGAAGATGCTGAAGTTGTTTAGTTCATTTGTAAAAACTTCAGGACAAACCTGCTGAAATTTTTCTCCTGCACTATGTAATTTTCTAGTGAATTTAACTAGTTGAGTTTTTACATAATTTGCTAAACCTTCACACCAAAACGGTGAGGTCTTTGTCTTGCAGTATAAACAAGCTGAAATTTTTTAGTTCATTTGCTAATACTTCAGCATTCAATATGCTGAAATTTTGTCCTGGATTCAATAGTTTTGTCATGAGCTTTTATCGAAATTTCAGCAGACGATGCTGAAGTTGTTTAGTTTATTTGTAAAAACTTCAGGACAAACCTGCTGAAGTTTTCTTCCCGCTATGTAATTTCCTAGTGAATTTAACTAGTTGAGTTTTTACATAATTTGCTAAACCTTCACACCAAAACGCTGAAGTCTTTGTCTTGTAGTATAAACAAGCTGAAATTTTTTAGTTCATTTGCTAATATTTCAGCATTTAATATGCTGAAGTTTTGTCCTGGATTCAATAGTTTTGTCATGAGCTTTTTCCGAAACTTCAGCAGACGATGCTGAAGTTGTTTAGTTCATTTGTAAAAATTTCAGGACAAACCTGCTAAAATTTTCCTCCTGCACTATGTAATTTTCTAGTGAATTTAACTAGCTGAGTTTTTATATAATTTGCTAAACCTTCACACTAAAACGCTGAAGTCTTTGTCTTGCAGTATAAACAAGCTATAGATTTTTAGTTCATTTGCTAATACTTCAGCATTCAATATGCTGAAGTTTTGTCCTGGATTCAATAATTTTGTCATGAGCTTTTTTCAAAAACTTCAGTAGAAGATGCTGAAGTTGTTTAGTTCATTTGTAAAAACTTCCGGACGAAACTGCTAAAATTTTTCTCCTGCACTATGTAATTTTTTCCTGCATGCTAAAGTTAAATCTCGTTCATGCTTAAGTTTTGTCCAGCATTAAACAACTTTTTTATGAGCTTTTTTTTCGAAAATTTCAGAATAAACAAGCTGAAGTATTCTAGTACATTTGCTAAAATTTCAGCTTAAACGTGCTTAAGTTTTTCTCCTGCAATATGTAATTTTTTAATGAATATTTTATGAACTTCGCACTTAAATTCTTTTGTTCAGTTTCCTAATACTTGACAATAAATATATTTCTGCAGGATGAGTTCGATTTACCTTGTTATTACTTTCAATGGGAGGTGGACTTTTGATTTCAAATACTTGGATCATGATACAAAACTTGTTCTGCTTAATAAAACTTTCCAAAAGAAAATTAGTGAAGTTACAGATATTGATTCAACCAAATATTCACTAAAGATATGATTTGATATCAAACTAAATACAAGCAAATGGATGCTAGTAATTTCAGATGAAGAACTCAGAACTTGTATACATTTGCTAACAATTAATTCAGCCTACAAGAATTGCCATTTTGTCGTCGAAAAAATATAACTCATTTCTGACAGTATAGCTGCTTCAGAATCTGCAACATTCAAACCCTCTCTTGCATATACAATAAATTCAGAATAATTTGCTGATTATCAACATGAACTAGAACAACCAATAATGGAAGTAGACAACGAGCAACAACCTTCTAACATTACAACTACTTCAGAATATGGAATGTTGCAATAATTACATGCTGCTACAATAAATTCATACCAGTTTGTTGACGACCAAGAAGAAGAAGGACAACTAATAATGCAAATAGACAACCAACACACGATCCAACAAAGTTTTTTGTTACCTTTTGCAATGACAAGCAATAATGAAGATGAAGAAAACAGGGAATTTATACCGATAACATCAGATACAATTGAAAAAATTGCTGAAACTTCTACTGCTTCTAAGAAATCAAGAAAAAGAGTGAGGAGAAAGATGAAAGAATCTCCACCATGTAAAATACTTAGGCACGATGCATTGCCTGAGAAAGTAAGAGTAGGATCAGTTTTTGACAACAAGAATAACATGACTAAATTTTTCTGCAGCTTGGAGATAAACCAAAAAGTTGAATTCACTGCTGTTAGATCATGTTCAAAGAGATACGAGCTGAAATGCATCGTGGAGAAATATGGTTGGAATGTACGTGCTACCAGAATAAAAAATTCTTCACTTTTTAGGGTGATAAAATATTATAACAACCATGAATGCTCGGTTGATGCAAGAAAATCAGATCAGAAGCATGCTACATCAAATTTTATAAGTGAACAAATTTTAGAACATGTTCGAGATAAAAAGATTGAGGTTACACCAGCCTTTGTAGAAAGTGAAATGAAAAAGAAATTTGGAATTGACATTGGATATCACAAGGCATGGCGCGCTATTCAAAAAGCTATTGCTTCCATAAGGGGAACACCAGAAGAGAACTACCAGATTCTTTCTTCATACCTACACATGATGGTGCATAGAAACCCAGGGACGTACACTAGCATAAAAAGAGATGAGAAGAATCGGTAAACAAAACAATACTAACCATCAGCCTGAAGTTTCAAATGTTCCTATATGAAAAACTTCACACCTTATGATTTATTTTTTTGTGTTTCACTGTACAGATTTGCTTACATGTTCTTTGCTCATGCGGCATCAATAGCTGGTTGGTGCTACTGTAGACCCGTGATTGCAGTAGATGTAATATTTTTAAAATCAACATATCATGGCGTTCTATTTATTACTGTATCAAAGGATGCAAACAATCAAATCTTTTCTCTATCTTTTGGTATAGTAGATTCAGAAAACAATGATGCATACATTTGGTTCTTCGGGGAAATGAGAAAAGCAATTCAAGTTCGTCGTGAACTGGTTTTCTTATCATATAAAAACCAATCGATCGCAAATGGGATTAGAAAATTTTATCCTAAGCTCACCATGGTATCTGCCTCTATCACTTTGAGAAAAATTTAAAGCAAAGACATGCAAAAGCCACGGTAATAAATCTTTTTCAAAGCACTGCAAGGTCATACAAATGTGAAGATTTTAATCAGTTATTATCCGAAATCAAAAGTGTTGACAAGAAAACATACAATTACATAATAAAAGATCCGCCAGAGAGATGGGCTCGATTGTGGTTCCCACGACGACGTTATGATATGCTGACAATAAACATGGTAGAATCAATGATTTTCGTGTTACTAAAAGCGAGAGAGATGCCTATTTTAAGAATGTTAGATTTTATCCAAAAAAAAGTTGGGAGAGTGGTTTTACGAACGGAGAAAAAAAGCACATAAAACTTTTCACAAAGTATCAATACGGGCAGAAGAAGGGATGAACAAGAAGATGGACTTGGCTTGCAAAATGTTTGTGAGTATATTTATGTAACAACCCGGCCGATCATTTTGAATATTATAACCCCGGATGAACAAGAAGATGGACTTGGCTTGCAAAATGTCTTGCAATTGATTTATGACTTATCAGGTTAGTTGGTTTGGGTCCAGAAAGAACTCGGAATAAAACAAGACACTTAGTCTCATAATTGAAAAATTAAGTTAGAAAAGTAGACTGGATATGGACCTATGTGTAAACGACCTCGAATTTAAATTTTGATGATTCCAATAGCTCCGTATGGTAATTTTGGGCTTATAAGTGTGTCCGGAATATTATTTGAAGGTCCATAGTGGAATTAGGCTTGAAATACCGAACGTTAAATTTTTAGGAAGTTTGACCGGGGGGTTGACTTTTTGATATCGGGTTCGAAATCCGATTCTGAAAACTGGAATACCTCTGTTATGTCATTTATGACTTGTGTGCAAAATTTAAGGTCAATCAGACGTGATTTGGTAGGTTCCGAAGTCGTTTGTAAAAATTAGAAATTCAAAGTTCATTAGGCTTGAATCTATGTGTGATTCATGTTTTAGTATTGTTGGATGCGATTTGAAGGCTCAACTAAGATCGTATGATGTTTTAGGACTTGTTGGTATATTTGGTTGAAGTCCCGGGGGCCTCGGATGAGTTTCGGATGGTTAACGGATCAAATTCGGACTTAGAAGAAATAGTTGAAGTTTCTGCCCTGTGCTGCAATCGCACCTGCGGAAATTCCATCGCAGGTGCGAGCTCGCAGAAGCGAGCCTGGAAAGCGCAGATGCGCAAATGGACTGTGGGGTAGTGGTCGCAGGTGCAAGGGAAATTCCGCACCTGCGTGAACGCAGATGCGGATGCACGCGCGCAGAAGCGGCTTGCGTAGGAGCGCAAATAGGCACGCAAATGCGGTCAAAAGTGCATATGCAGGACTTTTTCTGCACATGCAGTTGGCGCAGAAGAGGCCAAGTTGCCGCAGGTGCTAAAACCTCTAGGCAGTACAAAAACAGAGGGGTTCCGAGATTTTGCCCTTTTCGGGCATTTCAAGCTTAGGTTGGGCGATTTTGAGCAAGGTTTTCACGGGAAAACTTGAAGTAAGTTCCTTGTGATCATTTCTACTCTATAATATTGAATTATCATCGAATAATCCGACTAGATTACATATTTCTGAGGTGTAAATTGGGGGTTTTGAACTTAGGGATTTGAAATAAGATTTGATGATTTGGAGGTCGAGTTGATGTCGGATTTTGGTAAAATTAGTATGATTAGACTCGTGATGGAATGAGCTTTCGGATTTTGTAACTTTTGTCGGGTTCCGAGACGTGGGTCCCACAGGTGATTTTTTAGCTAATTTTCGGATTTTTATGGAAAATTATTATTTTCTTATGGAATTAATTCCAATGAATTTTATTGACTGAAACAAATTATTTATGACTAGATTCGAGGCATTTGGAGACCAATTCATGAGGAAAGGACATTGCATAATAAAAATTTCACAACTTGAAGTAAGTTACAGTTTTAAATCTGGTCCTGAGGGTATTAAACCCCAGATTTTGGTATCATGTGATTATTTTGGAGGTGATGCATATACTAGGTGACGGGCGTGTGGGCGTGCACCGAGGGGATTATGACTTGGTCCGTCCCGAAAAACTGTAAAGTTGAATAATTTGTTGTTAGCTATATGCTCTCTATGTGTTGATAAAAATTGACTATAAATCATGTTAGAAATCATGTTTAGGCTATGTGATAGTACTTTTGAGACCCACAGAGGTCGTGTACTTCTTGAATTGCCTGCTAAATGCTATATGTACTCAGTATCAGTTTTTACTTGCATATTTTATCTCAGTCTCTGTTATTATTATTAATACATCATATCATTGTTGTTTGGGCTGATTTC